GAAGGGCTATATATTGTTTTAGTGTGGCTTCTCGAAGATTCTCTCTTGACCGTATTTCCTCGACCAGGTCGAGCTCTTCCCTTAAGGCTTCGTCATTCAAATCCTCGTCTATAGGGACTTCAGTTCTCCTGGAGGGCTCCATTATTTCCACGGGGATGACTGCTTCGGTACCATGAGTTAAGCGAAATGGGGTCTCATTGGTCGTCGAGTATGGTGTTGTTCGGTATGCTCACAGGATGATGTGCAGTTCTTCGACCCACCCTTTTTTGGCTTCGCCCAGTCTGCGCTTGAGTCCTCACAGGATGACCCTGTTTGCGGCCTCAGCTTGCCCGTTTATTTAAGGGTGTTCGACAAAATTGAAGTGTTGTTTGGTGCCAAGCTTGGCGACTAAGTCTTGGAAAGTTTGATCAGTGAATTGTGTCCCGTTGTCGGTGACGAGCACTTGTGGTATTCTGAATCGGGAAAGTATGTTTCGCTTATAGAAATGGAGGATATTGTGCGATGTGATTCTGGCCAGGGCTTCAGCCTCTATCCACTTCGTGAAATAGTCAACGGCCACGATCAGGAATTTATTTTGATATGAACCTTGCATGAATGGTTTGAGGATGTCCATTCCCCACCAGGCAAACGGCCACGGGGACGACAATGTTTTTAAATCGTGTGGGGCACGAGGTGCATGTCCATGTGTGTCTGACATTTGTCGTATCTTTTGACGTGTTCCCTCGCATCTTGTTGCATGGTGGGCAAGTAATAGCCTGTCTGCAACGCCTTTCATGCTAAGGACCTTCCCCCCAAATGTTGGATGTTGATCCCCTCGTGGATTTCCCGTAATAACTCGGGGATTTTAGATTCCTCGATGCATTTCAGGAGCGGGATGAAGAATCCTCGACTGTAAAGTTTATGCTCGATCACCACCATAAATGATAAAATTTTGTAGTCGACCGAGTTGTCGACCAACATATCAATGTTAGATAAAGGAAAATCATCTTTGGGACATACCTGATTAAGATCAGTATAGTCAACACACATTCTCCATTTTCCATTATTCTTTTTTACAAGTACAACAATTGAGAGCCATGTTGAATATTGGACCTCAAAAATAAAATTTGCCTCTAGGAGGTCTTTTACAACTTTTTCAGCAGCCTCCACTTTTTTGAGAGACTGCCTACGCCTATGTTGCACTACTGCCCTACCGACTGGATCAACGGAGAGTCAGTGACAGGAGACCTCATGATCGAGTCCGGGCATCTCCGCAGCACTCCATGCGAACAAGTCTGGGTTCTCCCTTAAGCAAGCTTTGAGCTGCTTCCTCGCCAGGTCGGGGAGTCCAGTGCTAACCTTCACGCCTTTGTGAGGGTCTTCGCCGAGGGGGACGAACTCGAAGTCACCGTCTGGGATGGGTCAGAGAGGATCATGTTCGCTATTGGAGGCTTCGACTTCATCTTTGTCAAAGCGAGTGTCGAGGGAGATGGAGTCGACCTTGGGTGGAGTCTTTTGTTCTTCGATCTGAGCAGGCTTTGATACAGGTCGAGTAGCGGTTGCTTTTTTGGCGGGTCGCGCTCCAGTGTCGACCATGCTATGTCCTTTGGAGGCTGCGTGAAAACATCTCCTGGCTGCTGAGATGTCTCCATAGATGGTGGCGACGCGTCCACTCCTGGTGTAGAACTTCATTTTCAGATGGACGATGGAGGGTACGACGGTTAGCTCGACCAATGCCGGTCTCCCGAAGATGCAGTTGTAGAGAGACGGGAAGTCGATCACCAGAAATCACACATTGACTTGTCGAGATGCGGTTTCTTCCCCGGAGGTGACAAAGAGCTCCACGTAGCCCCACGACTTGGAGGTTGAGCTGTTGAATCCTTGCAGGTCAGACCCCATGTATGGTGATAGGTGGGTATCGTCGAGTTGTGGGGTTCTGAATAAATGATTGTACATGACATCGACGGAACTCCCTTTGTCGACCAAAATACAATGTACGTCAAAGTTGGCCATCCTTGCCCTCACCAACAGAGGAATTCTCGAGTTTGGGGCTCCACCGGACAGCTCCTCCAGGTAAAAAGTGATTGGTTCAGATTTTCCTTTGAACCTTTCGAGCATTACAGCCTGGATCGGGGCTGCGTCCACCAACTCGTCGAGCTTCCTCTTCGCCGAGTTCACTGAGATGTTGTTAAATCCCCTGCCAGATATGACCATGGTGGAGAGGAATTTCTCCCATCTGTTGTGCGCAGACAAGGATTCGTCCTCATAGTTGTCGAGGACATGGAAGTCTTTCAGCCTTGTCAAGGAGAAAGCCACCTGGACGGGGCCCGATTCATCGGACGGTCAGGTTTCTTCCTCGACTTACTTTACCTCGCGGGTGTCCCAGCGAGGGGCGTTGTTGCGCGTGTACTGCCCAAGTCTCCCACCCTTGATGAGAGTCTCAGTGGCATCCTTGAGGTGGACGCAGTCTTCCGTCAAGTGTCCGTGGCTACGATGATACTGACAGTATTTTGTTTTGTCAGCCCCGGGCTTTGTAAAAGCGGGTCGAGGACGTCTGACATTGCCGTCCTTGAACTCGGTATTAGAGCACTCCGCAAGGATACGCTCGCAGGAAGCGGTCAGCGTGGTGTATTCTATGAACTGCCCTGCTGGTCCTCTGTGCTTGTGGGGATCGTGAGGCTTCTCTTTCCTTCTCTTCTCCGCAGCCCGTCGAGAAGGGCCCACATCCTGGTGTCGTGGGATGTTAGCTGGTCCGCGGTTCCTCAAATCGCGGACTTTGTTTGCCGCTTCTTTCTCCTCGTAGTCCATGTATGTCCTGGCCTTTTCGAGGAAAGCGTCGAAAGATCGGGGGGAAGGGGGCTTAATATCGACGACCTTTCTGAATTCAATGCCTGGAAGAAGTCCTCTCTCGAGCAGGTACATTTTCACATGATCGACGCACGGAGCCTGAATGGCCTCGCGGTTGAACCGATCAATGTATTCTCTTAGGGTCTCGTCGCTTCTCTAGACGATTGCCTCTAGGGCAGTCTCTGTCTTCGAATGTCGACGAGACGCGGTGAAGGAGATGATGAACGGGTTATTGAGGCTCCTCCAGGAGGTGATCAACCCGGGGGAAAGGTTCTTGTACCAGTCCTGGCTATTTTTCTCAAGGTCGTGGAGAACAACCAGCATTTAATTGGCCCCCCGATGTTGTGGTAATGGAGCATTGCTTCAAACCCGTCGATGTGATCGACAGGATCCACAATATCGCCGTACTCCTTTAGTAGGGGAGGCTTCTCCATTCCCCTAGGAATGAGAGCCTCCATGATTGCTTGGGACAATGGACTGCGGGGGTCATCTTCGTCACTTTTGTCTGGAGAGAAGGAAGGGGACCGGTTGTAGTGGCAGTTGTTGTGATGGCCTTGACTGCGGGGAGGATCCCTTGGTCGAGGTTGTCCTTCTTTGTTTCCCTTATTTCTGTTGTTTCCAGGGGATCGTCGCTCCCTGCGCGGTGAAGTGTGACCGCGCCTCCCCGTAGCTTCAGGCTAACTCCTCTCCAACGCAAGACGTTGACCAGCTCGTCGCGGAGAAGGGCTACGTGAGATATCTCGCCTGCGTCTCCGCAAGAGACATTGGGGAAAGTCTTCGTTGTGCCGGGGAGGAGGAGTGTCGGGTCTTCTGTGCCTTCTAGGAGCCCGGTGAGTTTGCTCGAGCACTCTCAACCGCTCACTTTGTGAGAAGATCAGGTAGTTGGTTTGGTTGATGGTCGCGAACAGGGCTCTGGTTGTGGCGTCTGCACCTGCTGAAACGTGGACCTCTTGGAATACATTTGGTTCGGAGTTCTAGGGAGGACAACAGTCGTCCTCGTGTGGTTGTGAGCGGGATGATAAAGAGGTTGTCAGTTTGTCTCTGTAGTTTTACTCGGGATCGGGCATGTTAATGTCGTTGCCGACGTTGTTATTGCCGACATTGTTGTCGCCGACGTTGTTGTTGGGGTTAGCGAGATGAGCGTTTCGGTTATTGTCGACAACTTGATCGGCCATGACAATCGTACAGTTTGATGAAAAGTTGCTTTGGTCTTGAGAGAAAGACGGGAAAATTGTTTCCCACAGACAGCGTCATTGGTCGTACCTGACCAGAAGGGATTGTCAAAGCCTTCAAGTTTTGAGTCGAGCAACAGTTGAATATGAAGTGGAGGGATACCTGCAAGACACTCTGATGTCAAAGTAAGTTTTAGAACAAGTGCTAGTAAGTAGGAGAGTGAGTGACTATGAATATCTGAGCCTTTAAAGTGAAAGGGTATTTATAGTCCCGGACCAAGGTCTTCAATGATGGGCCACAATGAGACCCAACAACGAAGACTATCAGGGTTTACGTGTGTATGGAATCCAGCACGTAACTTCCTCCCTGATCAACTGCTCCGAAAAAGCAGGAGCTAGACCCGTTATTCTCGGAGAGCAGGACGATGATGATATGGATACATGGACTACGTCCTCCTAACAGACACGTGGGAAAATACCCAACAGCTCTTAGATTGAACTGTATTCTTTTGAACCTTTGATAAAGGCACTGGATTGGACCTCCCCAACAGTAAGACAAGTGTCAGCCCAATTCAGAACAGTTGCTTTCACAATTATCAATTGAAAACGTTAGCAGAACACACAAAGTGTCAATAAAAATACCTGATTGAAAAGTTCATAATCATTAACCAATAACTCCAATTCTTGTAAGTTCTAGCTTACTACTGTCTAAATTGGAAAAAGATGTAACTACAAATGATACAAATTAAATTGACGTAAGTAAAGATAATCACCGGACAAACTATATAATGTGTATTTAGAGATTTGGATTTACAAAAACTCCAAATCAACCTATACAGAGAAGGAAAAATGACCTCTAGCACAAAAAATAAGCCCGGTACCCCTTTTCCTCCGGATGCAAAACATATATTGAACTCCTCCGACCCCACCCATCAAATGTTGTCCATGAAAATGAAACATAAATAATGAAAAGAATGTTGACCCTCTTTGACTGCTTTACTATCACTGCGGTTTTTCAGCTTCCTCCGGTCCAATTCCATTCTCACTAGGTAGAGATGATTGATCAACTGGGTCCGTTGTTGCATCTGGCATCAACTTGTCTGTGGTATCATCTGTCTTCGACTCTGAATCTGAATTAAGAAAGAGGCACACTGCAGCACAATCATCAACCTTACAGAAAGGGAATTTTGTCCTCCAAGCATGAACAGCTGACTCAACCAGTATTCGAGCAGCAGTAGACTGCGGTGCAGATGCCACAATCTCCACAACTTCTTCATTTGATAAAACATCCCAAATCTGCATGGAAGAATCTTGAACAATTCAAATATTTCATAACAAATTTACTAGCTCTTGCATTTAAAGCAATTATTTGGCCTATATCTGTCCATTGATTACCCTCTATATCTGTCCATTGATTACCCTCTGCATCTTACTATTCAGACCATCATACATTTGATGAATCAGTGGTGCCCCTGATGTAAATCAATATACTGATGCAAATGACAAGCCATTGGCAACCCCAACAATTCTACAAATCCCAGTTCGAAATAGGAGAAGAATGAACATGCATGTCTATGGAAAAAAATATGAATGACTCAGGTACAACTGGGTCAAAATAGGTATTGATAGCAGTGTTCATTTATATTTCAAAAGTATGTTAATTATTTATTTTAGTGACTAATTTGAATAATAATTCATAGATTTTATGCATAAGTTTTCAAATGTGAAGTGTATAAACAGTACAGGTTCAATTTAAATGCAATCAACTTCTAACCAATTTAAAGTCAAGTGCATTGAATTCAGCTACATATATGATGTCATATGCCTTACCCCATCTGTTGCTAACACAACAAATTCATCCTTCTCTGTAAGGCGGTGATATGAGACATCTGGAACAGAAATCAATCCAACGTTCTTTAGGCAAAAATCTCCAAAAGCCCGTGCCATAGCCAGACCTGGGAAATCAGAGTTAGGTAGCCAAACTCGAGCCACATCCGGTTCATTCTTAAGAGAAAACACCCTTCCTTTGCGATGCTTAATCCTCTCTTCTTCCTCTGTATGAAATGAAGTGCAAATCATACATAAATATATGTATATGCCAACATAAATTATCAAATGTAAGTTAGTATTGTTGAAAATAAAGTTACAGAGAAAACTGCTTGGCTATCAAGAGTTATCTTGCATAAGTAAAAAGTATTTGATCTATTTATTGGAAGGTCTTCAATTTAGTCGATCTAGTTCATTAAGGAACACACACAAAGACTCAGAAAGGATGTGCGAGAGAGAAATATACTTGGAAGATTAGGCTTAAGGTCAATGGTCAACTGAACAGCAATAAGAGAATCGGCATGATCTCGGGTTCCCAATACAGCTCTTGAATCCCCCACATTTGCAATAACAAGATTCAGCCCCTAAAAGAACATAAATAGTTGAGACAGAGTAAAACAAATAAGGAAAATTATACAAAAAAAAAAAGGATTTTGTATTTTATGCTGTTGTTTATGTTGCTTACCTGCTTGATCAAGGTAACTGCTGTAGTCCCGCTGCAAAAGCAATCAATGTCTCGGTGCAGTTTCAGTTCTTTGTCCATAATCTTGCTAGCCTTCAAAAAGGATTCTCTTAATGCCAAGACAGCATTTGATCCATCGAGCTCGTGATCGAAGTTCTCGCCGACCTGTCTAATTTGCTCTTCAGAGTTATAACTTGTGGCAGCACCATTTTGATTACTGAATCCATCTTCATTCTTAAGATGCAAATCCCATTGTGCACCAAGCTTTAAAGGAAAAGAATCCCTAACTTTTTTTGCAACCCTATGGCCATTAGGTCCATGACCATCAAAAACACCACAAAAAATGGTGTCGTCCTTTGAACAAAAATTCTGCGATATAAAAAATGAGTGTAGTTTTAACTTTTGAGCATATAAATAACATCTATAACATAAATCTTAGTAGAAAATAAAATAACCGAACTATAATAAACCATCTAAACTCTAAATAATGGACAAACTATAGTATTGTACAGTTAGTGAGTGACATATTGAAACTATAGTAGGTGGGAAAAGATGGACACGACAGAGTTTATTTGAAGATAAAAGAGGGTATGATTTAGGTTATACTGAAATGGTGGTATGAAAAGGAAATAACTACTAAAAGCTTGAGAAGATTGAGAAAGCGTGTTGGGAAGCGAAATCAACAATGCTAATGATCAAACACAGGTAATAACATACTCTCACCGGGATGATTTATAATCAAAAGCAGACTAAATAACACATATAAAGAATGACAATTAATCGTAATTTCATGTCCTATTACCTAAATTATCCCTCAAAATAGTACATGAATTGATTTGCTGAAAACAAAAGTTAAATGAAATAACGAGTATTTTGGAGATAGTAGCATTAATTAGGCTAAAAGTTTTAACTTTCCTTTATATTTCATACCCAGATAGATGGACTATTTTGGCTTATAAAACTTTCCGGAGGTAGCATTAATTAGGCTAAAAAGTTTTAACTTTTTCCCTTGTATTTCATTCCCAGATAAATGGACTATTTTGGCTTATAAATCTTTCCGAAAGGAGTATTCATCAAGTAAAAAGCCATAAACTCCAAACCCAAAAATAAACAACAATTTCAATTCAAAAAGAGAACAAAAATACAAATTTCCATTGACATTTGATCTAAAAGCCGAAAAGCAAAATCAATAAAGTGCTAATAGAATATAAGCCAAACCATAAATTGACCCAGCTTGGATTTTCAGTATAAAACAAGTTATACATATTCATGGACAAGTGAAACAAGAGAACTTCCACAAAATCAACAAAAAAAAAAAGATAAAATACAAATGTTAATTTCAACTTACATGAAAAACTCCTATAGTAATTGACAATTCTTTTAATACTTCCTTTTCCATAATTGTTTATGTTATCCAAAATTTCTCATAGGAATTTGTAACAAGCACATGATACTACTACTCAACTTTGATAAACTTTAAAAACACATAACCTTTTCACTTTAATAGATACTAAAAAAGAAAGGGACAAACAAACAAACCAACCTCCCAAACAAGCATAGCATCTTGGTTGACTCCTTTTCTCCCTTGCTTACAATACATAGAAGCAACATCACTTGACCCATTCAAGAACATCCTCCCGGGCAACTTAAAATCCATGGTAGATGAACCCCTTATCCTCTTCCTCTTCCCAACATCAACATTCAATTCCTGTGAATAAGTTAACAGAGGCGGCAAACCACCAGCACCTACCTCCGATATACAAGATCCCATCCCCAAAGCTCTCACAATGTTCAGAAAACATTCAAAACCACCTAAACACTCCGAATCTGAACCTCGACCTTCCGCAACAAAATCCGTTCCGTATCGACTCAACACTGGAGCAGCCTGTAACAGTCATCATCAACAGCATCATCATCATCATCATCATCATCAACAACAACACAATAATCATCATAATCATAATCATACTCATTTCAATAAGAAAAATAAAACACTAGGTTTTCAGATTCAGAAGCAAGTGAGAAGAATCACCTGAGTCATGACGATTGTTGCAATGAACAGAAACTACAATTCGATTGAACGAAACACGAATCAGTCTGTGTAACAGTAACCTAGAATCGGAAAGCGCGTGAATCGGAAACGAAGCGCGTGAGTGCAAAAAAGTCAAATCGAAAGCGAAAATCAAAGAATCGGAAACGTAAATTGCAGAGATTATCGATTAAGCGTTATTCCTTGTTTGGATTGCGAAATCGAAAATCGAAAAGCGAAAATCTGAATTGAATTGAAGAGGTTTTTGCAGTGGTTGAAGTAAACCCTGAGAGAGAGAAACGGTACCGTCACGAGTTGCTGCGTCACCGGCAGGTGGTGGATATTTTGAATGGTTTGGTTTAACGCCACGCAAGAACAAAGAACGTGTTATTATTTATATGAAAAATAAATAAATAGTGTAAGAGTTGATTTGTTTATGAGGTTAATTGGCAACCAGTAAGAAACGATTATATGTCTCTTATTTTTTATTTGTCAAATTTGTATTTATTTATTTAATTAGTTAACATTCATTCAGTTATAAATATATTTAGTGTTTCGAACTCGTGTGTTTATTTATTAAAAAAAAAAAATTAATAAAAATAGTTAAATTTTTCTCGTTTATAAAAATATTTGTAATTTATCTCTGTTTATAAAAATTTATAAGTGTTTTGAATCCGTGTGACGATTTATAAAATTCTTTTTTATTTATTTCTCTTAAAAACAATTGTATCAATAATTGATTTTTTTTTCATTTATACAAATATTTGTAACTTATTTTCGTTTATAAAAATTATTGTAACTTATTTTCATTTATACAAATAATTATATCAACATATAGATTTTTTCTCATTTATAAGTGTTTTGAACTTGTGTGACTATTTCTAAAAATATTTTAGCTTATTCCTGTTAAAAATTATATCAATTGTTGAAATTTTATCGTTTATAAAAACTATTTGTAATTTATTTTCGTTTATAAAAATAATTGTAAAACTAAATATTTGTCATATCATCTTAAATTTATTTATTTAACAATGATAAATATGTGTCTCATATTTAATTATGTTTATTTATAAAAGATATTGTCTATTATTGATAAATATTAAATTCATTATTTTAATGTCTAGTTAAAATTTTCTATCAAGTAAAATAAATATTCTAACTAATTTAAATAAATATTATATAGAAAAAAAGACAAAATTAAAAAATTTATTTTTCATTATATTATAAATTTTTATGGATAAAAAGATAATTTATTTTTTATTATATTATAAAGATAAATTAAACAATAATCAAAAATTGGTCTAAATAGTGACCTTAAAATCGAATCAAATAAGTTCATTAAATTCTAAAAATCGATAATCACCTTTGTGAGATACAATTTCAATGTTATAGTCAAAGCCGCCATGGTTTCAAACACACTCACAGAAGTTGAACTCAAAAAATAACTATTAAAAATGATAAATATCGTGAGGATGTTACAAAACAATCAGAAACCGTGCAATTAAAAACGAAACTCTGAAACATATTATGTGATTATCTTACACAATTCTCTTAATTTGAAGAAACAAAAAAATAGTAAAGAGAACCAAAAAGGCTTAACATAAATATGTATGACATCATGGAACGCGTGTTTACGTAATTAAGTAAACATCAATATTTTTGTAGCTTGAATCATTTAGCATGAAAAACACGGATTGGTCACTTTTTGATGTCTTGTTAAAATAATTTTTAAATAAGATATTTTTTTAATAATTTATAAATTGAAATATTATGTTGATATTCTATAATATAAATATACATTATTAAAGATTAAAATATAATAAAAATTATAATTTATTCAAAAAAAAGTATTTAAATTTTTTTTTTATAAAACATTATTTCTTTAAATTTTGAATTTGAGTGATCTTTTAAAAAATTTAATATCTAAAAAAATTATTGTAAAATAACAAAATATCTAAAATAACTATTTAAGAATAATTATTTAAATTAATTTGAAATTTGAAATTTGTTCAAAAAGTTCTATTTAAAGTTTTTTTCAACAAAAAATTATAAATTATAATAGTATAAAAATCATTTTAAAAAATTGAAACAAAAAGAACCTTAAATTAACTTAATGTACGTGTAAGTTCAACTTGAGCTAGTTTTTTTTTTTTTTAAAGGCCAAAAGATAAATAAATTAAAGCAAGGCATAAGAAATTTCCAAAATATAAACTTGTTTGTTACAAACTTCACTCCAAATTACATTAGTACAAAATTGAAATAGGCCTAGACATACCCTCCATTTTACTCTAGTCACTAACAGCCTAACCACAACTCCATAACAGTATGATACATGACACATTCCATCTATCTAAATTGAAAAATACCAGGATCTGCAAAGATATAACACCAATATGCCAAATATCTGGACAAATCTGATAACAGTAAGCCCAAAATGAATTAATGTGTCACCAATAACAATCATGGATATCAACAGAAGGCAATCCACCAAGTCTTGCATAAACTTCGTAACTGGTCTTTGTATTTGAGAATAGTTGCATGTGAGTATTTCGGCCAACTACACCATGAGGAATATCGAGAGTAAGGTAAGTCTAAGTTTTGTTAGTTTCTTTGAGTTTCAATGAGTTGTTTAAAAGTGGCTCAAGAGGAAAATTTACAGAAGATGCTTCTTCACCGATAGACAAATAATAGGATTCAAAAACAGTTGGACCTTTCGTTAGAACTGTCCGCAAAAAAAAACATTCTCATGAATAACTTATTCTTATGAATATTGAGATGTGTCTAACAATCAATACTATCTGAAGTGTGTAGCTACTCATTGTACAATTCGATCCAGTATTTCCAAACGGGCACTGAAGCATTTGTGATTCAAAGGAATAACAAACTTTTACATCACTGTCATGATGAGTATCTTCAATTTATACCTCTAAAATATGATAGTACCTATTCAACGTAATTACAAAATCCAACCATCCAATTGTATCTATAAATTTGTTAAAAACTGACACACTATGACAGCGCCTCCAATCTTCCACATGTATGGTTCATGCATTATCAATGCTAAAAAATTATGAATTAGAACTCATGAAAAAACAATGTGAATCAAATGCAGCTATTATCTCAAAGCTTCATAACAATGAGAATATTGGAACTTAAAGGTTGTTCTCACAAATACAAATCCATCTGAAATATGCATCAATGGCATGTCATTTTCTCGGCGAGCATATAAGTAGGCAAATGTTGCACTTATTGTGTAAGTTACAAACAATGACTTTGAAGCTTTAAATTATTATGGTCCGCTTGCTGGTGTTGAAATTCAGGTTGGTCTTAATTCTTGTCATTTTGTGTTGTGTTCATATGCATTGAATTTAAAATTTGTCACTAAATGTCTTATTTATCAAAAGTGAACTGTGAAGTAAAAACGTGGGGCACTTCATTGTTCAGTTTTTCCATAATATATTTAACTATTTAATTATTAAACAGTAGAATATATAAAGTTCATATTCTATTTATAAGCATACATGATTTGGAAATAGACTGGTATTACATCTTGTGAAATTTTGTTAAACAACATTGTTATTGTTCCTGATGGCCATGTAGCAGAGTCCTTAATTTTATAAATTTGACATTGCTTGTTTTTCTAATGTTGTTACTATTTCAAAGAGCTGCTATAATAAAGTGAGTTGTTATATATGATAGGGAATGCTGATAACTAACTAATTACCACAAATGTAAACTTAATAATAATGTGTTTTGGCAGGTTGGTCAAGAACAGTTAGACCATATGTAAAAGAGATACAATATGCAAACTTATCATGAGAAAGTCTTTATTTCTAAGGTGAGCTACATGTGAAGCATATGACTGAAGTTCTTTGCTTTTAGGCTCTATGGATAATGCAAATATTGAATTAATCTACCAAATTTTAAAGAACAAAGTCGTATCTAATGCTCCTATGCTTAGAAAAAAAATACAGGAAACATAAAGGATGGAATAAAAAAATAAAAACTAACCAATGTAATTTTTCCTTCTTTCTGAAAACCACCTGTGGTGGAATCAATGATAAGGACAACACAATCAGCCTGGGAGGTTCCAGTAATCATATTCTCTGGCTGCAAAAAAATGAATTGAATATAAATAACTTAGATAAATTAATGTAAAAGAATCCAAACCTAAATGCAAAACCAATGCTTCATGTAAACAACAATTTTGAATTCTAAAATCAGTTTATCTCTAATTAAAAAGAATTATAATATACAGTGAGTTATATGATTCAAGTTGGTTGTTGGATGTTGAACTATCTAAAATGATAATGTGCTTGTACTCTCATACGGTTGAAAAATAGGACATGACAAACATAAGAAAATTAAATGATTGTTCTACTTCCTATTAAAAACAATGGCAATAGTGAATGATTGCTTTACTTCCAATTAAAAAACAATGGCAATAATGCAATATTCATAGTCAAGGAGTTCATGAGCACACACGAGTTCTTCGTAAAATAAAATGTTACTAACCATTCAAGTTCAACCAGTTGTGCACGTTAGTCCTATCACTTCCAATATCATCAAATACATAAAGATAACCAAAAACCGGTTCACAATCCATATATATGGGTGTGTGTTAAGTTTTACCTGAATTTAAAAGGATAAAACTCAGTACTTGAAAAGTAGAGTTCACTACAAAGCTAGTTAAACATGTTATATACACCCTACAGATCCAACAACCGAATTTAAAGAACTCACGACTTGCGTCGAGATGACCATCTAGCATGTGCCTTAAACTGAGATGCACTAACTTTTGCATTGCAACAGGTACAAACAATTCAATATCCCTTTTTGTAACCTACCGATAATTTATGAGCGCATCCTAAAAAGCACAATCAGAAAAAGATAAAAGTCATAAAATAAGGTAAAGCTGAGAAATCCTCACTGAACTAAAACAACATTCATCAAAGATAATAGACAATACTAACCAAATTTGCGTCAACGGCTTATTTCCAGCTTATTTCCAA